ATACTATCTATCTATCTATCTATCTATCTATCTATCTATCTATCTATCTATATATATATAGAGAGAGAGAGAGAGAGAGATGTGTATATATAGACACACACACACACACACACACATATATATATATATATATATATATATATATATAGCATCCTACAGTAAAAATGTATTTGTGTTATAGTCATGACCATACAACAAAAATATATTCTTCTAAACCAAAGAGTATCATTATGTCTTTATCTTGTATACAAAATTACATCCAATTGCATTCATAATATATGAAATCCTATACTAAAATTATGAAAATAAATTTTCAAGAAAATATTTCACTTGTAATTATGTGAGATGCAATAGAATAAAAATATACACACTTGTAATTTGTTTATAGTATGCAACTGATAGTTGTGACACACTAAAACTATGTCCATGGGGCTGGAGAGATGGCTCAGCAGTTAAGTGCACTGGTTCCTCTTGCAGAAGACCCGAATTTGATTCCTAGCACCCACATCCTAGCCTGATAACCTCCCATACCTCCAGTTCTATGGGATCCAATGCCCTCATCTGACCTACATGGGCATGACCCGGGGTCGAGTCCCAGCACCCACATGGCAACCAAAAATTGCCTGCGACTCCAGTTTTGACCTCTGGGCATTGCACATCACAGGTGCACCTACTTACATACTGGCAATACACTCATACACATTAAAAATAATAATAAAATATAAAAAAACCTGTGCCCGTGAAAGATTACCTCATAGGAACATTTCACTTCATATGCTTCTAACTACTTAGCTTTTATAATTTATGTCACAGATGAAGCAAAAATAAAAAGAAGACAAATGGATACAGTGGTCAGGAGAATGACAAGGGTTCGTTGAAACTGAACGCAAGCAAACAGTGCTTATTGTGATCTATTAGACAAAATTCTTCATAGAGACATTGACTTGTTTTGGTAGCATGTAGTTGCATGGGGTAACATGTTCAAACGTGAAAGAGGGTAATTGGATGCAGCAGAGGGAAGACAGAAGAGGGGATGAATCAAGTGTAATGGAAAAAGCAAGGGATTTTTGCCAGCATAGCATTATCAGGCTTATATGTCTGGACCTCTTGTGCCCTCTCAGGAACTATTGACCCCCTACCCCCAGTGCATCCAGAACTGGGATGTGCTGATGAGAAAGAGGGACTGTGCTCCTCAGCAGCCTCTCATCTCCACTCATGTTCATTATTCAACCTTTCAATTTCTTGCCCCATGAATAATGAGATGAATTGACCATTTCAAAACAATTATTATTGTTTACAGTAATTCGGTGGATTATTTTCAATTTTTATACAATTTTCTTATAGTTTCAGCTTGATTTCTTCTTAGTTTTTAAAAGCCAAAGTCATTATCTTTGTAATAATATTACATTATTATTTAAATAAAGCGTACATTTTCTCTTACATACTTCTTGACTTGTCCCCTTCCTGCATAAACTGTACATCTCAAAGGATAGTTCCAGTGAATCTTTGTTTTTCTTTATACATGCCAGTAGTGCAATGAATACCATTAGTTTTAAAATCTATGACTACTGTCACTGGCAAAGTAACACGAAAGCTTTGTTCCCCGATCTAACAAATGAGATGCTTAATCTTTTTTAGGACTCAAAAAGAGCAGAGTGAACTGGGAATGTCATCAAATATGTAAACATGTTTTGCAAGAATGGTGAGGAATCAGTGAATTTCATTTCAGAAAATGAAAGAATTGTTGACGGTCTTAGCAGAGAATATTAATGTTGCAAATTAGAAAAAGTTCTTTCCAAGATAAAGACTTTCAATCATCTTAGGATGTCACAAAATGGAATCTTTGTTCACTCTTGAGGACACAGTATGTAAGTTTTAATCAGAAGCTAATCTGAATTCACCTCTCACCTTAGGCAAATTATTGACCTGCATTTTGTCTGGAGACTGGAAATTAAACAGGATTTAAAAATACACTTTATTACAGAAATCATTAAAATTTGAGTGAATACACTAAAAATAAAAATATTTTAATTGCTTTGTTGTGTGAAAATAAATATTAAAATAGTTTAAATACTCATATTTAATACGTGAAGGCATTGCTGGCAAATGACCAATATTTAATAGCTTAATATTAAAATGCTTCAACAATTTGTTAAATTCTGCTAATGAACCATGTAATGTGCTAAATGCTTCGATAATAAAATAATGCATAGTAAGGGCTACACATTTTTGAGCAAAGCAAATAGTTTAGCCATGTTTTCCACGGCCTTCGGGAGATGGAAACCATCACTGAGGGTGCCTTGTGTGGATGAATGCAATACCATATTAAGAAATAGATGTTGGTATTGATATTTTATAAATGGATGACACTAGGTATAAAGGAACTACTTATTATTACCAAGAAGGTGAGGTAGATGTTGAGCCTATTTTTGTGTTTGCAGCATAATCGATATCAACAAAATATGTGTTAAATTGGTAGCTGTATAATGCCTTATTGGAATTTATCTTAAAGGTTTAGTTTAGTCCAAGTCCTGCCTTAACAGTCTTAAGGATAATACTAATTCTAATCTTCACAGTTCTGAGTCACTACCAAAAAAAGGAGATGATAAAAGGGACATTACAAACTTGGAACACCCTCAAGATCTTTTACCCCTTCTGTTCCCATCTTGGGCAAACATAAGTCCACTAGCTTCTCTAGGCTGATGAAAATATGCTGAAGGAAAATTTACTGATATGTATCAACAATTATAGAAGTGTTCATTCTTTGAAACTTGCAATATTACATTTTAAATTATAAAAAACTTATGGAAAAATTAATGCAGCACTGTTTATTAATAAAAAATAATGAGTAAAATTTGTAATAGTGATCTAATGTAGAAGGAAAAAATACCCTAAAATATGCAACTATGTCTTAGAATAAAGTTCATAATTCTATATGTCTACTATAATTTTTAATATTATTTCCTGACAAAACTGTACTACCAAGCTTCAACAATGATGTGAAATTTGTCACTGCTCCTATATTGCCATTAACTCCCTTTCCAAATTCTTCAACCTATACCAAGTATTTTAATGTACTCAAGTTACTTCTTAAAGGAATGTTAATAAAATAGTTTTTAATTAAAATGTAACTATTTTCATAAGCTAATTGCATCCCTTACATATATCCCTATACATATATCTTGTGATTTTGCACAATTTTTAAAGAAGATTTTACAAACTGAGACATTAACATACTGTTTGGGAGTGAGGAGTTGTCCTTCAAGTAGCTTAAGATAACTTTTTTTTTCTTTTTTTAAAAAAATATTTTATTTGTTATTTTTATTTTATGTGTATGTGTGTACTGCCTGCATGTAGGTAAGTGCACCCATGTCATGCAATGCCCGCAGGGGACAGAAGAGGCTGTCGGATCCTCTGGAAATGGAGTTACAGACAGTTGTTAGCTGCCATGTGGGTGCTGGGATTCGAACCCGGGTCTTCTGAAAGAACAGCCAGTGTTTGTAACCACTCTCCAGCCATCTCTCCAGCCCAGGAATATCTGAAATTGAAGATTTTTCTGTAGGAAAGTCCTTGTCTTTGTATTGCAAGTTAGGAGGAAATATGTTTTTACTCTGGTTATGGAAGATGAGGGCACAAGCTGATTGTGCTTGGAAGTGTCATTTCCTTGTATCATTGCTGAATGTGTATAATCTAAAAGGGTGTTTTTTTCAAAACCACAAAAAAGAATGAGAGATCTGAAGTTTAAAAACATGTTTCATGATCATAAGGATTGAAACTATGCATTTGCATCATGTATCATCATTTACCTTCAAGTAAGGTATGGTGTGTCCATAAATAATGTCATAGCTGATTCCCATGACCTACAGACTGTGTCAAGCTTGCACCCTATCTTAGGCTATACAGATAAAGATGTTTCCAAAAAACCAAAGAATTTGTTCAAAGTCTCTACTCAGGAAGACCTTAAAGTGCAAACAACACAATTAAAAATAATAATAGTGAATTTTCCCTGCCTAGCTAGTCAGAATCTGCCCACTCAGCCTTGTTCCACCCCAGGTTTAGGTTGGGCCACCCTGCTAGAGAGCTCCCAATTATCTTGGCACGTTAGCCAGAACCTGGTCACTCTTTACCCATCCTTTTCATTCAGTACTAGTCCAGGAACACGCTGCTCATGGGCTCCCATTTACACTGCCTAGCTAGCCAGAACCCATCTACTCTGTCACTATCTTCTAGCACCAGGACTCAGCTAGGAAAGTACTGCTAGAGAGTTCCAAA